ACGCGGCGTGGTGTTGGCGCTTAGCCCAACGAAACCGCGCGCTTTTATAGGTCGACACCCCCGTCACTCCACGCCCAGGATTGATATAAATGGGCAAATGAGGTTCCTTATCACACCTAGGGTTGTCCAGAATCTAATAAGATTGACTGTCGACAAACTAAAGTTGCGGTAGCGCAGACCAGGTGAGATGCTCCTCGGGACGTCAAAAAATTGGCATTCTCATTCACTAGTGACTGCGGACGATGAAAAGGGCATGATATCCAGTATCATCCTACGAAGAAGGAATGAAAAGCAGCTGAAACGGAGAGGTATAAAAGTAAGATTTTATTTCATTGAGTATATCACTAAGGCTAACTTGCTACAAATTAAAGATGTTTGTATTGCGAAGATCTAACACGCAAGACAACAGCTTAGAAGGAAGCAGGATGGACCTGTGAGAGCTTAAGGCAGTGAGCAAGCTTTACGACACCTGTTATATACTGAAGAATGTTAGCATCCAGTCGTGACGATGTAACATTAAAGATTGATATGAAAAGGAAGGTGTCAGATACATGCCCTGTCACAGGCGGTGGTCATCAATGAAAGATTATGTTGACCGTCGTGATTAAATAGAAGTAAATCATCATTTGACGATGGGATCAGAAAGAAAAGAAAAGGGAGGTACGTACTGTCAGAGAGGATTGCAAGTGGTGCTGGAAAGGTCGAAACTCCATCTCCCAGAAGGGTGACACATAGGGACAACTAATCACTCATGTCAGCATCGAACGCTAGTTATGAGCAACAGACATGAGCAAAGCATTGCGACTGATCAGTCATGACAATTATCGTCTTGGTCAGCGAAGCCGACTTGGACATATGCTTGTCTTTTTTATATGTCGATTCATCACTGTGAGGGGGGTGGTGGAGATTGGGTGCCTACATACACCTCTTTCCATTCTCTCGCATACGTCGTCAAGTTAGTGAAGCCTCAAGGCTGCTAAATGTATAGACCTATCAAGGATTAGCTGCGTACGAGGAGCAAAGACCAAGAAGATTCGAGGAAGACATGTTGTCAGAAATGCATGAATGGTAAAAAAAGAATGTTGTCTGCATCGATAACTCGAATAAGACTCGTCATCTAGGGAATCATCACAGTGTAGGAGGACATTGGAGAAAAAGTCTAAGTATTTACCTGTTTGGTGAGTGCAAGCAGGCAACTGTGCATCATAGTAACTACATGCTAACCATGACGATCAGTATAATTCTGAGAATCAGGCCGAAGTAAACCATATCATAATGAGAAGGTATCAGTGGGCGAGGTTTTCTAGGCCTGCCACAAAGAGGCATATCCATCACGAACGGACGTCTGTTGGACGCCGTCGGAGCCCAGTGCCGCTTCATCATCGAATGTCGGGGTCTGCAAAAGAGCCGGAAAGCCTTACCACCGCACCCAGTACTACTCAAGCCATCCTGTTTATCAAAAACTAGTTGCTGTCAGCGTACAGCCAACTAACAGACAGGTATAAACAAAAAATGTGAATGGGAATATCATCAGAAATAGCCATTTGATATCGTCGACGACCCGAAGGTCTCGGTCGGTAATTTCCAGCGTATAAAAATACGAAAAGCATCATGTGATAGAAATCGAGGGGGTTTCAAGGAAAATAGCATTACATACCATTGTCTAAAGGTGAACCGGCACTCCTTGTAGAGCTACTCTAAGATTGTTAGTCCTAAATCAAAACATTAGCACACTGCAAAGACTAATTGGATAATGAACCAATGAAGTTATTGCAAGCAGCATCAGACTGACGTGCAAAACCGAGTTTTCATTCCCAGAAGGGGTCAAAGACTCTAGTTTGAAAAATGGTTGTATGTTTCATCATGCTAGGGAGGAGCGTGAGGGAACGATCAGAACTTACCAGGCCACATGATATCTGAGAACCAGTCAAGTCAGCACACAAAGAGGTGGGATGAGCAAATTCAGAGAAGCAATGTAGAACATCGCTGAGAAGTGATTCTTCATTCATCAAGAAGAAAAGCCATCATGCATCGGTGATGCAGGAATCCTTTTGGTGTTGTTGTGAGTGTGTAAAAAGTCTGGGAGGAAAATCTGTTTCGAACTTTTTTCAAGCTCTCTCGACCAAGCTAATTTTACCGAGAGCACTAGTCTGAAGTGGGTTAGAGCAAGGCAGGGAAAGAATATGTGGATTATATAATCTGCCAGTCAGCTGATCTCAAGAATCGCCGCTTATCAGTGGAGGACTTTCTTTATTCCGGTCGCATGACCTTCCTCAATTTGGGCGCTAGAAATAGCTGACAGCAAACTGGAAGGGTCGAGACTCGAATAGTCTCAAACTCAAGAGGGTATTATTATCAAAATTTGCGAATCTGCTGACTCTCTGAATCCACTTATTATTGAGAGGGATTTTCTGGGGGGAAGAGGCACATTAAACGGACTAACGAATATTAACATGGTACGGAGTACACAATAACTGTCATATAATTAGAGCGTAAACGTATGTTTCCGCAGCACGCATATCATCGGGCCAGCGAAGTAGTAAGTGTCGGCTCATATCAATAGACCGAGTGTCCAAATACTATCATCTACCAGTGCTAGATATCTAATAATAATACCTACTTTATAGTACGCAGTATCAACTCCTACCAAGAGCGCGGGGAATATCGGGGCGACGGGGCGACTCGGACAGAGGAAAGAAGAAAAGCCGGCAAGTTTCCCGAAGAGGAATAGAGCGGGGAGAAGGGAACACTGCGGGGGCTCTTCTTACGGGTAATGACGAAAACAATGATGATGATCAGGCCAATCTTGCTGAACCGCCACTGAATAATGATAATGATATCGATCTATGGAACTCTTATGGATACCTTACGTACGGATGAACCATCTGGTTCAGTTCTTCTGACTAAGGGAAGAGAAGAGAGAAATACAGAGAGGAAGATTGCGTCAAATCATAGGCGACCGGTTCTGCCCTGTTATCCGCGGGGGCTCTGACGTTCCTTGTGATCCACCGGCAAAGAGTTATTGCTTCCTCCCCTGGAGTACCCTCTGCTCTGGATCTAGGTATACTATAAGAAGGGAACAATCCGGGTCCTCTGCTGTCGAGCTGGTAGATTTTATTATTTCCCATTGCTACTATTCTTCACCTATCTCTCTCATCTCAATCCAATTCCATTGCCACCAATCGTCCCTTATCACGATCTGCTTCCAGTCTTGTAGACGCCTATTCCCCCGTCTTTCTGCTGTAGCTCTCTGCTCGAACTCTCCTTGTTTCTCCGTCAAGCCGAGGTTATACGTTGAACTGTACTGGTTCTACTCCTTCAGAAGTATTCTAGCAACATCGTCTCAATTCCCTCCTCTCTATCCTATACACCACAACATCCTTCCAGATTCAAAATGTCTTCGAGCGGCAACAACGGCGCTGTGGGCCAGGAGAACATCAACCCAGATATCATCACCCTCACTCGATTCCTCACTGAAGAGCAGGTCAAGGTACCGGAAGCCACTGGTGACTTCACGTGAGTTTGTCCCCTGACAAATTGAATCACTCTGCGCCGAAACTAACCACACTGCCGTGGCTGCGAACAGATTGCTCTGCCACGCTCTCCAGTTCGCATTCAAGTCCATTGCCTACTACATCCGTCGTGCGTCATTGATCAACCTGACCGGTCTGGCGGGCTCGTCAAACACAACCGGCGATGACCAGAAGAAGCTCGACGTGATTGGAAATGACATCTTTGTCTCCGCCATGAGAGGCTCCGGCAAGTGCCGTATACTCGTCTCAGAGGAGGAGGAAGAGGCGATTGTATTCGACGAGCATCCTAACGCCCGCTACGCCGTTGTTTGTGATCCCATCGACGGCTCGTCCAACCTCGACGCTGGCGTCTCGGTTGGCACCATCTTTGGCATTTTCAAGCTCCCCGACGAGTTGGTCGGCCCCAATAAGAAGGTCACAGCCAATGACATCCTGCGCGCCGGTACCGAGATGGTCGCCTCCGGTTTCACCATGTACGGCGCCTCCGCGCAGCTCGTCATCACCATGCGCGACGGCGGAGTCAACGGCTTCACCTTGGAGAACTCCCTGGGCGAGTTCATCCTGACCCACCCCAACATGAAGCTCCCCGCCAAACGCGCCATCTACTCCGTCAACGAGGGCAACAGCATGTACTGGGACGACTGGGTCAACGAGTACTTCCACTCGCTCAAGTACCCGGGCGAGGGCCAGAAGCCCTACAGCGCCCGGTACATCGGCAGCATGGTCGCTGACGCCTACCGCACCCTGCTGTACGGCGGTGTCTTTGCCTACCCCGCCGACAAGAAGAGCACCAAGGGCAAGCTGCGTATCCTGTACGAGTGCGCGCCTATGGCCATGCTATTCGAGAATGCCGGCGGTCTCGCCATCAACTCCCGCGCCGAGCGTCTTCTCGCGGTCGTTCCCGAGCACATCCACGACCGCAGCGGCGTGTTCCTTGGCTCGAAGGATGAAGTGCAAAAGATCATCGATACCTACAACAAGCACAAGAAATAAGTGCAATATATCCTCGCTGAAACGAACGATGTCGGGAAGGAGTTTCGGGTTTCTGCAATGGCCTGACTACTGGCGTTGGACTAAATGATCTGCATGTATGGAGTATTGTATTTAAGGCCTCAATCAAAAGAATATAATCCAAATGCACGACATGATATGCTGGCGGTCAACAGCAACAAAGATGTAGGCCGGGCAATTCTGTCCAGAGAGTATGGTCATTTCGAAGTCAAAAGCCCCACACTATGTGGGCAATGTATGACCCAATCGCTCGCTGTCCATTGACTTGGGACGGTCGACTATATGCGCACCCAACAGGTGGTAAATGTGTCTACAGTACCTCGTATAACCGGGAAAATATATTTAAGGTCCGAGCAACAGAAAGCCAATGTATCACTGACATCTAAATCCAATTCATTTCTTCAGAAGATACAGCTATGGATCTATAAAGACACAAAAACGAATGTACAACCCAGTTTAGTCCACCGGATCCTCTTCAAGAAGAGTCTTGAAGCTGAAAGGAGCGAAGGGTATACCGTCACCCATGAAATGCTTGCTCATGGCCTCGACCCAGTGTAGACGAAGGGAGTGAAGCATTGCACTTGTACCCTCCATGACACACAGAATGACAATTGTCAGAGTGAACCACATGTAGAAGGTGACGACGATCATGATAACGCGGATGGTAGGTGACTCCTGCTCAAAGGCACCGCCGATGGTCATGTTCCACAAGACGATCGAAAGCTGCTGGTGGGCGAGAGAGAGAGCCCACAGACGGAGGTAGGAGGCGGTGTGGGAGATACAGTTGAGGCAGAACTCGATGGTGTGGATGACCTGATGGATCATGATTTCAGAAAAGTCAAATTCCTCATGCTCTTCGTCGCCGAGATCTTGGGCAATCATTGCCACGCCTTCACCGTCGCTGACCATGCTATCACGAGGCCCTGAGGCTCCGCCGTTCATATCGGTGTCATCCTCGAGCGCACTCACACGGGCCTGCTCTCCAAGGCCTCGGTATCCCAGAGCACGAGCACGGTTGTGTTCCCAGCGAAGGTAGAATGGCTTGAAGAAGAGCATGATGGGGACTTGAACTACAGCGAGCAACAGCAGCACAACTTGAACGCCGGCTTGGCCCTTGTACAGCTGCTCTTCCACAGTTCCAGGGGAGAGAAACATGAAAATGAGCATGTTCAGAAGACCTGGAGGAGACTGGCCCCGGGCTTCCCAGTTGACAGACCATTTGTAGACGATGGTAAGAACAAGGTAACCAAAGATTGACTGGAAGAATATCATGCCTGGAATGAAATTTCCAATAATGTCGACCTTGGACTTGAAATGCCGCGCGTTGACATACTGCAAGCAGAGCGCATATGTCATCTACAGAGAGTTATTGTCAGCCAGGCCCTCTTGACAAGCAGCAGAATATCACTTACATGTGCCCAACCCAGAATAATACTCATCTTCATCTTCATACTGTTGGTAAAAAGAAGAGAGTTCTCAGCCTCGTGCCAATTCCAATCCAGACCGAACGGGTAACGGTAGCTATCCGTCAACGAAGCCTCAACTGTCTGTCCCTTCTTTATGTTATCAGGCCATTTCCACTGACTAGGGAAGACAGTGAAAGACCTGGAAAAGACATCGTTGTAGATCAGGCCGGTGTACATAGAGAAAAGACCCATCATCAACATAATGTAACGACCATAGAATGCCATGTAGCTCAACTCGTCGAGCTTCGTCTTCTGCAACTTCCGTTCCCAGAAGATCATAGCAGAAGCGGCCATTGCCATCAAAGCCCCGTGACCGAAATCACCGAACATAACAGCAAATAAGAAAGGGAATGTGACGACAGTGTACAATCCAGGGTTTGCTTCCGAGTACTTAGAGATACCGTAAGCATCGACAATGGTTTGGAATCCCTCGGTAAACTTGTTCGTCTTGACATAGGTAGGCGGGGTCTTGTTCGTCCGAATCTGATTGACAATGGTAGGCACGCTCAGACCAGCGCGGTCATTGACGTCCTGCAGAGTCGACTTGATCAACGCCAGCGAGTTGGTCGGGCACCATGCCTCGGCAATCAATGTCTTTCGCGCTTGGTCATAGGAGAACTTGTTGAGCGTATCGTACACGGCCTTCTCCTTCTTGACAATGATCATCCAAGCCGCAAGGGAGCGGGCAATCTGGGTAAGCTCGGCATCCAGGGTGTTCTTGGTGTTGCGCAAAACGTTGCCCACATCACTCAGCCGGGTGTTCACTTCATGAATCTGGTCCCTTCTCAACTCGCTGTTCTCATCAACACCATACAACGAGGCACCAAGAGATTCGGAAATTTTCCTGATCTTCGAAATGATGTGCTTTCCATGAGCGAAGATCACAAAGACATTCTTGTGTGATTCCTCATTGGTAGTCGGGTCAATGATCGGCTCGGGAATCTCCGACTGGTTCATGTACAAGTTACCACGCAGAGTTCGCCAAAGGATCCGTTCAAAGGCACCAATACGATCGCGGGGAATAACACCCGCAACAAACCCAATGTTCATCTCAAGGAACGACTGCTGAGCCTGAGCATCGCCATTCGGCCCACGGCTAGGTTGGTGTTCAACATCCCGCAGCAGCGGAGCCTCATCGTTATCGAACGACTGGCGGATCTCATCCGTGTGCGTATGAGCACGATCAAAGAAGCCGCCGGCCTCTCTGAGAACCCACCGCCACTCCGTAAGCTCAACTTCGCGCTTCTTCAGTGTCTCGTAGCTATCGTTCAGGGAGGCGATTCGCTGCTCAAGGCTCTCACTCCGCTCGGCGAGTTCATCAATTTCCGAAGCCAGGGGAGCCGCCAACGTGTCGGAGAACTCGGTGGAAGATCTCATCGGGATCCCGGCCTTGTCCATCTGCGCATGGAAATAGCCTGCCAAGAAATCATGTATGTTTAGCCAGATGCCACCACGACCACCGTCAGGGTCTCCGCAATGCATTGACCCTCCAGCCACAGGACGTTATACATACGCAGTTGTCTCTCCACATTATCCAACCGACGAATCTCCTTGGTGAAAGTCCGCTGGAAAGCATTGGTATCGGGGTTAAGCTATCGTAGATATCCAAATCAGCCCCCTGTATCTCCTCGAATCACCCACCTCGTCCAGGTACGGCACAACTTACATCCCGAAATTGAACCTGACCAAGTTCTCCTAAAGCACTAACAACCTCTCGTCCGATTTCATTGGCGATATAGAGCTGCGTTAAGCTCATATCAGACGAGCGGAAGAAGGTGTCCCTCGGAGCCATGGTGAAAGCGTCGCTGCCTGCAGCAGGTTCCTTCCACCACAGGGACGGGTATTGGGCGAGGACTTCGTATGTAAATATATATTTCTGACAAACCGTCTCTTAATGATAGAAAACGACAATAAACGACGGGAAGAACAGCGCCGCTGGCAAGGAGGCAGCTATGGATTGCTCCAACGGTGATGCTCTCGGCACTCTTGGACAGCCGCGTGGCCGCCTCTCAGTCACGTGAAGATTATGTCATCAGTCAATCCTGTTTATGGGGAAGAACTGCCATTAGGATGGCAGTTTATGCCATGAATATTGGCAAAAGAATGAAATGAGATCATGTTTTCAGCCTTCTTTTGGGCCCTGAGCGATACGGAGTTTGATGCTTTGAAAAAGCTCATTTGCGCTCATAGATATGGGGTGGTTGCAATACAGAAACATATATATTATGTCCTGTAATGTCCTAAGCACGGAAAAGTGAAAGGATAATGTAGAAAAGATACCCAATTCCGAAATAAAGGCAATACAAATTTGAAGAATTACTCAGAGTTGCTTTTATTGCTATGTACAGACCATGTCCAAAGCAAAATTGAAGCTGCTGCAGACAAGAATCACACACAAGGATCAAACCTCGATTGTTAGAAGAGTAATTTGACTACCTATCATACAGACCATGACCAACCATCGTTCTGCTCTACAGTCTTCCGACCGCTGCTCTAAGCGAAATAACTCTTCCACAGTACCCCTGAGAGGTCTTCTAGCTGATCTGACGTAAAAGCCTATTTGATAGATTAGCTTCTGTGTCCCTCGAAAACCTGGTAGTACGTTCGTCACTAACCTTTGCGTCTATATGCCAGGTATCTTGTCTCGTCTTCTTGAATTCGCTGATAATTGACTTGACGCTTGACCCAACAATGCCAGGGTCGTTTGCGGCGCGGTTACTCAACGTGGTTAAAGCCTCGGGCATCCACCTTGGAGGTGGACTATCATAAGGGAACGCTTGTATCAAAGCCCCAAGACCTAAGACTGCGCCGTGTCTGACAATGATGAGTCGAGTATGTTCGGGAGTCGGTGTGCCGGATCGAGAGGATACTGGAGAAGCCAATGCAGAACGAGCGTGGTTCTTTGGTTTCTTGGGTAATGGGTTCTCAACCAAAGTCCTTGTGAAGCGCTCTTGTAGCCTGCTGACCATGCGCTGCCGGAGAGACACAGGCGAGCACCGAATCATGCCCGAAAGGGTAGCTGATGCACCAGCCCTCACCTCGTGCTGTGTATCCTCGAGCATGTTCGCGATACAATCGAACAACTTGTCCCGATCGACGGGAGAAAGTAGGAACAGACGGCGGAAGTAGATGATCTGGATGTTGATCATCACTCGCAAGCGCTGGTGCCACGAGGGTGACGTCTGACCAATGTGTATCAAGGACTTGATGAACCCGGAGTCCTGCTCGGCAGGGTACGGAATATTTGGCAAGTGACGGAAAACGTGGTAGGCCAATGACTGAAGTTCTGGATCTTCTTTGACATCCATCATATGCAAAAGCTGCCCTGTGAACACATCAGGGAAGAATGGAACAAGCTGAGTACACTCGTGAGATGAAAGAGTGGAGTCGAGCCATAGGAGAACTGTCTTGCTGCCAGAAGTGTAGGAAGATGGCGTCTGTTGACCCGGGGATCTCTCATGGCGCCATTTCTCGATCCTGGCAAAGACTTCGCGCACCATCTTAGAGAACTCCTCAGTAGGGAGGTATGCATATGAGCCGACAGGTGAAGCAGACTCCTGTGCCTTGAGGAGACGCTGAAGGTCCGCGTACGACTCGTGATATCGTGTACGGTAAATTGTTGCAAGCGTCTGACCCATTGCCTCACGGACTCCCTTGTACGGGTGATCGAGATGGGCGAGGAAATCTTGGACAATTGGCTTCTCCAACTGGAAGTGCCAGCCAGCGTCTATAATGCATTGATGCAGGAGGTTGATCTTGGAGCTCTCTTTGAAGGCTGCGTTGGTTGCCATATCCAGCCGGAAACTGGCAAGCCAGTCAACTAAGGGCCAAGCTCGTCGTGGATCCCGACATTGGAGGATCATATGAAGGAAAGTGGTCCAGTAGCCTGAATTTTCTGGGGTCAAACCATCGGTGAAGATCCTTTGCACGATCGGGAAAGCATATTCCCAAACCAGTGTCCTCTTCTCCACGCTCGTATCCGCGACAGAGCTAATAAGAGCACCAAGAATTTCTGCAGTAGCTCTGTGTTGATGCTTGTCACTACCGTCTTCAAAGACAGCTTCAATCTCTTCTTGAATATCTTTAAAAGTGGCAGCGGTGAGCCCGTCGCGAAGCATCAATTCGAATGCGTAGAGGAGCATCATGGCACAGGGCATGCGGAATTTGTCGGCTGACGGGTCCCGCGGCTCCTGCTTCAGGTACATGAAGAACTTGGAGAACCACCCTCGATCAAATAGTTTACCCATCTGTTTGCGTACGTTCCATTCCACCTCGTCATACTCAATGTCGCGCTCCAGATTAGACTTATATGCAGGCATACTATCCGACCATACGAGCCATCCGGGGAAGTCGTGGTCAATATAGTATTCGGCCTCTGGCTTGGCGAAGCTTGCCAGATACTGCTCTGTCCAACCTTCTTCGTAGCGCTTGGTGGCGACCTTGATTTTGGATGGGAAGTGCTGGTTGCCCAAAATATAATTCTTATAGTCATGGCCGCAGATCGCTCGGACGTCTACCATAGTAAACAAAGCAATGAGAGCCTGAGAGTACATGCCACGCAGCCCCGGATGGTCATCGATGGACCCTAGAGTGACGAGCTCTATGAGATTGCTGCTTGCGATGTAGTCAAATCTCAGACCCATTGTGATTACAATGGTGGCTGCCCGGCTAGCGACCTTCCAGTGGGAGACTCTTGCCAGGTTGACAAGCTCCTCAGCCATATCAGCCTTCTTTTTCTCAATGATAGCACGCTTGTTGTTGATGCTCTTGCGTTTTTGCGTAATTTGGTCTTGGACGTCCTCTTTCGGAGCGATTGCTTCTACAATATCTCTGTCAAGCACAGCCATTCTTTCCATTGCACGGCCATAGTCCATGATTTGAAAAACCGCACTAGAACATATCTTCTGCACAGATGGTTTATCAACCGCGCTTGCGTCAATGAAAGTTCTGATCAGAGTGGGGGCATATTTCCAGTGGCGTCCCACAGTTTTCGCGACGCTACTCAGCAGCAGAGAGAACAATGCACCTTTGATTCGCGCATGATCATTCTCCTTGATACCTTTCTGTAATGCCGTGAGCAGAGGAGGAATGACAAGAAGTCGTGACCCCCAGATAGCCTTGAGAGCAGATTCGCCAGCGCTCTGGGCGTTGCGCCGAGTCTCGGTGTAAAGCGAAACGCACGACTCAGCGAGATCCAGGAGCAGGATTTCGTCGAGGCGAGACCGTGGTCTTGGGGCAGCATTGTGCCTCAGGCGCTGCAAGTGGTATACATTGGCTCTCCGCACCAGTAGGGGACGCGGGTAGTCTTTCCGCATACCGCTCATTTTGTAAGGATGAATATCGGCCGCAAGAAGGCGCGTGACTCTGTCGAGAACATGCGCAGACCGTTCCATGCCAACGTCAATGAACCAAGACCGGAAAGCCGAGTATAGAGCTGCGAAGCAAGGCACATCGTCCTCTTGCTTATCCGATAAAAATCTGTGGACATCGTGTAGGACCCAGCCAGCTCTCTCCCGAAGATCGTGAATGCACCTGTAGAGCCGGTCATTCTCCTCCAGAGGATAGCCGGTAGGGTAGGAGAAGCTTGGCCTGACAGTTGCCTCGTCAGAGGTGTCGAGTGATGCGTCAGGGTCCTCGTCTCCAACACCATTGGCGACTGGGAAGTCTTTTGCATCGGACATCTCGACATCATTCGCTATCCCGTCTACTCCTTCATCTTTCGTTTTCGACGCCGCTTTGCTGTCGAAAAGAACAGAGATTCCCGAGAGAATAAGGCGTAGCAAGACAAGATTCCTGGAGACTTCATCTGACCAATCTTTTCCGCTACCATCCCTTTTCACACTCGCTGTTCCATCGGTGAGTGCAGTCAACGATTTCAGAGCGGTTTCTGCTTGGTTCTGGAAGAGTTCGACAGCAAATTCAAGCTCCTCACGTTTCGGAACATGCCATTTCACAGTCAGATTCTCTGGATCTGGTTGATAACTCCAGAGCTTAGGGGTTATTCCCTCGGCGAGGACCTCAGGTTCGTACAGCGAGTAGTCGATTGTATATGTTCCCGTAAGGTTGAGAAGAAGGTGGTGAATAAAGTTCGATATGTGAACAGTGGGTATGCCCCTGCATTTTTGCTGCATATAAACAGCAATATCAAAAAGCTCCTTCCTGTGAGCCAGGACCGCGTCTCCGACGTGAACAACGCACATGCTCAGCATGCTGATGTTCCAGACCAGAGCACGATCCCGCGGGAGAACATCGGTGCCGGTCGTCCGAGTTGAGCCTGCACCATTGTCGTCTATTTCAGTCCGGATGGCTTGCGTCAGCACCGGAATGAAACGCTTCAGAGCCTTATCGGGATTCACTTTGCAAATGGAATTGCAAATAAAAGCCATCGCATCTCGCGCCTGGTGAATGACATGATTCGACACGAAATCCACAACCTTGGACAAAGCGATATCGAAGTACTCAGGCGAAAGGGACGAGAGTAGAGGCATGAATGTTGCAGGAAGGGTGTTCACAATGTTCTCCTCTGGCGACCCATTCCGCACTCTGCTCGCATCTGGAAGGTTCTCAAGGAGAGTGAAGACACGTCCCAAGAACGAAACGATGAAATCTCCAAAGCCGCATGTCGATGAGCGCAAGATCATTTCTTCATTCTCATCACTCAAGTCAGTGTCGTAGTTCAGCTGTACCTCTACACCTTCTGCCTCCATTCGTCCCATTTCACCATTAATCCACTGCATAGCCAGCATATCACAGTTAATGTCCTCCCTGCCTTTCGTTAGGTCAAATAAGGGGATGTTGTAGCACGCTGATTGAATGAAAGACAGAGCGTGAAGAGACTTTTCCAAGTCGTTGGCATCGATACCTGGTAGAGCGAGTCCAAGCAAGGTTGTCATATGGCAGCGGTAGCCTTTCGTCCGCGAAATAATCCGAGACAAGACTTGAAGGGCCCGGAGAGAAGATGCTGTGCGATGAACCTCCACGAGACCTTGCAAAGAAGGGTATATTCTTTGCAAAGCTCCCGGAAGAATTAGGTGCGGTTCTAAGAATGCAAGATTCTGCAAAGTTGACAATGAGAAGCTGATGGCGGTGCCGCTCTTGGCATAGATGCCCATGAAGACTACATCGCGCAAGCAGAGCACGAAACGGCGTTTCAGTGGCTCAGTCAATCTGCGGCCAACCGGCACTTCCATCTCACCACTCTGCTCTCGGTTCCACCGCATCAGGAAGAAGTCAGAGAGATAGTATACAAGCTGAGACAATGTCTTGGTCCAACCACCTGAATTGGAAGGATGGAAAAATGTCTCCACAGCCTGAATAAGACCCTCGAGTTGGGATAGAATTGATTCGTCTGCCTCGGCGCATTCCGGCGAGAGTGACATCACGACCCATCGAGCAATGTGATGCGCAACGGGGTGCTTTCGAGCATCTCGATCGAGCATGATGCCCAATCCCGACGAGATATCTACGAGAGCACTGTAGGGAGAAGTCGATTGTCCTACAGGAATTTCCAGCAGTCTCAGGATGGCAGTGAAGATGAGTGCTGACTGCTCCTTGGTGAAGAGACCAAATTCGGAAAATGGTATATGCTCTGCAGGCAACGAATCTCGTGCCAACCGGGAAAGATAGTCCAGAAACGTCATATCAAAGGTCTTGGAACGATTGACGAGCGACCATAGGTGGAAATGTGTTGGCAGGTAATGCTGCGGTAGAAGATCTTCTCTGGACTGGGGAGGCGGGGAGGTTGGAAGAAGTAGATTGATTAACCCAACAACAACAAAGGCACCTTCTGAGAAAGACGTCGAAAAATGAGGGAGGAATTCCTCCAGCATAGCCGGCAGCTCACATGGGTCAATGTAGAGCTGAACGAACGCACACAGCTTCGTCAGTGTCTTGACGTTACGCTTCAGGTTGGTCGAATGGACTAGACCCGACTCTGTCGGCAAAACAAACGCTTTCAATTCTTTATATAAGGGCCTCCAATCTAGGATGAGATCTTTCACCGGTCGTAGATAATGCTTCCGCCTGCATATTGTGTCAGCGCCCCAACCCCAGCTAAGCAACACCATGGGAGAATCTGCTCACTTTGTAAGTAGCATGAACATGCTAGCGAAGCGTTCCGCAACATTGGGATCAATCCCAGGGGCCAGCGAGAGCTCATAGTATAGCTTGACCAGGTTGATTCGTTCTGTACGAGTGGGGTCGAACTTGAGTGACAGCCAACCCCTAAGCTCTCGAGTCCAGTGGACCGCGCCGGGACTGAAATCCCCAGATTCAACAGCAATGTAGAGCTGATTCAATATCTCTCGTAGATTTCGTTCTCTCTCAGACTCATCCTCTGTCGGATACGGGAGGTATTTGAAGTAAGGATAGGTGCGAGGACGGACGCGGGCTTTGGGCTCGCCCTCCCCGTTCATCCCCGCGGGCTCACCACCGGGCGAGGTGGCTCGGGAAATCTCATGCGCAGGATAGACATTCTGGGTCAGAATCGCCTTGGGTCCCGAGGTGTCCATAGTTGCGTAGGGTGTGCGGCAGTTACTGCGGCGTAGGGGTCAAATTCGTGGGAGGACCAGATGAGCTCTGGATCCAGAAAGACGTCAGCTTCAAATTCCGTCGATCAACGAATGGAACAAACCAGCGAGCGAGAATGTAGGGCTTATTGTACACTAGTCATGAAGATTGTAACTGGATATCGAGCTGTAGATATCGATACCAGACAGTAGGCTGCTGCCAGTCTGCTCGCATGGGGCAGCTCAGCGAATCTCGGTCTCAATCAGCGAGGCGGCCGGGGAACAACGATCAGAGCTTAGAACGATTCGAAATAAGCAGGAAAAACACAAAAACAGAGATATTCTCTTTTTAATAAAAGAAATTCGTCAGCATTAGCTGCCTAATTTGATTAGCAGCGTGGTGGTCAATATAATGTGAGCTCACGCGAAGCAATGAGGTTGAAGGTATCAGTTGAGAGTTCGGTCGACCAGAGCGACGACTGATGACATAATTCTACGTAACAGCACCGCAGCCTAAAGCTACTTTCTTTTGTCAGCCACCAGGAGCGGAACGCCCACAACAATGGTCCGGTTAGTAGGACATAGGAATGGATTTCATTTTCTAGGGAGTGAGGTATGGTGATTTCAGACATTCTGAGCGCAAACATGGATGTTTAGGTGATTAAAACAGTGGACTCTCTTGTACCTGTTTCTTTCCTCATCATATCTTCTATCTCCCGTCGTTTGTCTACTCTATGCTATAAATGAATCCATTCCATTCCGGATAGATCGGCCACCAGTATAACAGGGTGGGCTTCGTTGACCTGTACAGCCGGAATAAGTAGACTTTACCAGGTACATATCTTCAAGCGGGAGGGAGAAACGAGCCGAAGAGGACCGCTTGGATCAAACCATAGATCACCATAGCTTGAATAGCAACTGCAGAGATGCTGATGCCCTCATTAGTGGATTGAGAGCTTTCAAGATCGCTTATAAGCTCAGCCGCCAGGTGCCAGTACCATAATGGATACCCAGAAGATAACCGATTAATGATCTGGACATGATAGCTGGTGAATGCCAGAACCGCGAGCAGGGCCTGAATAATTGCCAAGCGAGGGAGTAACCACATGGCTTTAGTTGATGCTCCATTGGCAGCATTCTTTGAGAATTTACTGGTGATCGATGGCAGTCTCCACGCCCAGAGAGCTGACCGAAGAAGCAATGCTAACATGGGCAAGGCTAAGAGGAATAGAGGGATATTTGGTACGACCCAATACCGTAAAAACCCAACATTCCTGCATGACACATTGAGCAATAGCCATGGGGCAGTCTGGTATATCTTCACTTACCAGTATTGTTCTTGGACAAAGCGGTATATGCTCGGGATGGTCCATCCACACCATGGACGTGGGGCATTCGGAGTCATGCAGAAAGCAATAAAAGCGATGTACTGAGGTACAGCCATACCCAGTGCGATGACGCAGCCTCCGAGGACAGTGACCGCAAGGCGCGAGACAACCGCCCATGACAAACCTCGACTGAGAATCTGCTGCAGCTGTAGAAGAGCATCATACGCGAACAAAATTCCACCAAGAATTCCGTTGCTGCGGACTGCTGTGGCTGCTGATATTAGTACAGCGGCTGTAAGCAGTTTCAAGTCCCTCGACAATCGGTGGTTGGTAGTATCATCGAGAACCGATGACGAGTAAAGATAGGACCCAGAGATGCTGAGAAGGGAAAACAGAGCTTCTCCATAGGGTGCCGAAAGAAATGCACCCGCTGGACTGATGATGTGTAAAGCAGCGGAGAGAAAGCAAAGAGTCTTCTGCTTGGCAGTGTCACCGCCAAAGGTGCTGATTGAGAGCCTGTATAGAACCAGGACTGATAGGTAATGAGCGATGTGGGAGAGCACAGCTGCTACCAATCCAATTCGAGCTGATTCACTTAAGTTGGCTGATCGAGGTAATACTGAACACTCATAATTAGCATTTGCGTTTGGGCTAGGCGGGCATTTATCAATCTAGAAGAAAATTGTTGTAAATACCGGACGCAAGAAGGGCCAGGAGCCTGGTATAACCATACCCAAAGGCCCATTCTTGTTCAAAAACATAGCCATGCTCAGCAGCGTGAACGAAGTAAATGGAATCCCATCTCACAAATCTGAGTGAAAGGGGAAATTGCAATGGATCGACGTCCGAAGAGTCTCTGGTTGGATAGAGGAGTAGACTTGTTGAGGTGTCATAGCCAAGTCCGGGGCAGAAAGCTATTACTAGGAAGATGAGAGCTTTCCATAACCCAAAGAGAATGGATAAGCTTCTGAGAGGGTGGCGAGGATTGACAAGGATTGGACCGAGCGAGCACGCTGATTGAGAACCGGCGCGTCGAGACGGAGAAGTCATCAGACTCATCACTGTTCAGAACGGAGACAAGGGTCTGTCTCTTTGCTGTGGACCCATGTAGACCAAGAGGGATACCGATAACCGTGGCAAGATCATCAAATCAGCGAAAGGAGAACGATGCCTCCTGTACTTCGTACGAAATAGAGCACTCGGCTTTCTTGACATGCCGAGGTGTTGTGCAGGAATCAAAGATCCGCACCACAGCTCAATGCCAAGATTCGTCGTCGTCAGGTGGACCAGCAGGTCGGATTGCTCGGCTTCGGCAGCATAAGGATAATACTAATAAATGTCCCTAGATAACTAACTTAAAACCAACCGCTGATTCAGCGGAGCGGAGAATAAGTTAAACTAGTTAACTACTAATGCGCGACTTCAAAACATACGCGGTATTTATTAGTGGCATACTATACTGGCTTTACGTCGATCGATTTGGTGGCGATCCTGTCAGTCATTTAGGTACGGAGTAGTTTGAGACCATGTTGTACTACCTAGTTGATATGGGTAGTACTAGTAAGATTAAAGATAATTGATGGACCGGTAAGCAAAAGAATTGACTGGAAGAATTTTTCTGTGAGTCATGTAATCACTCACAAGTTAACTAGTTAACTAGAAGAAAGGGTTCACGGACTGATCAATTTCTTTTGACACATATTTACCCAGGCCCCGGTCAGCCCTATGGGTTGATTTGGGCCTAGGAACCACAACATCCAACATAATTATCTTGTGCGGTCAGCTGTAGGATAAACTACTGATAACCCGATAGCATGCGGCCGTAGATGGGTCTCTTTAAAGCTAATACAGCGAACTCGAACTCCTGTACCATGGAATGGCTCTCTTCTGTTCCGTAGTCCAGGTCATAATCGATCTTCATATATTTCAACAGAATGATGGAATCAAAGCTTTAGAATCGCACACTCACCAAAAGAACAACAAAATGTGGAAGACCGGCATGCACAAGTCTATCAAATGGATGTTGCCAGAATAACGGTGGTAGCCTGAGCAGACCTGTCCTCCAAACAGAGTGCGTCGTAGATGGCGCCAATGCTGATATGACCTCACCGTCGTCAGTGGTCATGCATTATGGAGTGGAGTTCTGCTAGTGACTAGGCTAGTCGGTATCGATTTCTTCTCTTCTACAGTACCTGTGTGATAACACCATAGTATTTTTGTTCTGCGATGTCCAGCGCATATTCACAAGCCAAATCCAGATCGCTGTGGCACCACGGGCTTCACTTTCAGGGATCCATCGGATCCATCGACACATCGGACCAGTTCATTCCTCTTCTTTTCCAGCTTTGACCTTGTATAATTGTATTACTAGTATACGCGCACCACTGCTCCCAGTGGTAGCTGGAGGAAGCAATGTTGCTCGAAGCTAGGTAACAGTTTGGGCTAACGTGGCACATCGACTTAGCTAGTTCACACCGTATCTCGGAGGATGGTGTTGTTTCGTATTCCCACCTCGTTTCCAATCGGAGCAACCTTGACTTGACTCCCGTGGATGAGTTTGTTACCTTTTGAAGTCAAGCCGAAGGACGGAAGCTGGGGCAGGGGAGTTCCATACTCCGTACTTTACAAAATTTACCGGCAACTCGGAGGTCAAGATCTCCGGTTCAACGAACAAAAACCGTCCGAATTCCGAGCTCAGGTTTCTGATTGGATCAAAATTTGAACTTCAGCTTCTGAAGCGCTTTGTGATTATGCTCGGCGTGCTAATTGCTAGGTCAAGTGCTAGGTAGTAAAATTTCATGTTGAGTGATCATCCCGTTTGCTCAAGACTTTTGCTCCACAATCAGAGCAGAGAAGACTGGGTTTGGACTTTTAAGGTAGCTCAGTGATGTTCTGAACAGTTCCGCCGTGCTCCGAACGGGCAAAATGTAAGTATCCAGACTTGATTGACTGTATGGCAGGGCAGTCAGATCGTGAAGATTTATTTCAGGGCTTAGACTAGACTTTCCGCCAGCATGGCTCGGTCTTTTCCTACCTTGTCAGCCCCGAAGATCGTCGTCTAGACTGGTTTGGGTTACGGATGCGAGTTGTCGCCCATGGATTGGCTGTTCCGGGCATCCGACGAACGGGTACAGTTTGATGGCAGTGGGCACCTAGTCTTCCTTACTCTGTACAATTCTCTGGATAGATTATTGATTCGGGGATACCAGAAGAATAATCATTATTGTAATAATGGATACATTGACACATGTGGTTCTGATGTGGATATCTTCTCAAATCCCTGAAAATTCTTTGATGCTGACCGCCATCTTTCCTACCTGACTACTTATACACATCATGCAGCCTTCCTCTCTGGCTAGTTTAGCGGTACAAAGTGACTTCTTATTCTCATCACCTTCAGCATTGGCATCGTCAACTCAGCCAACTAGTCTCCATACCAAGACTTTCTTGCCCCTTCAACATTCCAGCTAATTCTTTTAAGACAGTTTCAGCCTCTTCCCCTTGCATTACTGCACTTTATTCTGATCTCTTGCGTCTCTCATTTTTCTGACATATTCCTTCCTTCCCCGCGTCCATCTGCGCTGACTCGCCTCTACTTCCGATACTTCCACACTCCACAGCTCAGCCTCAGGACTGCGGCGGACAATTTAACCTTGCTGTTGCTGTGCAGGTCACACAAGAGCTTACGACTTCCCACTCTGTCATACAATATCATCCTCTCTTTTCCATTATTCTCACAACTCTCATTACCTTCGAATAGAATACTCAAACGACCCCCTTCTAACCTGCGTGGGAACCCGCTTTCATTCTCCCATCTTACCCCAGATCAACACAAGATTCACCCTGGTTGGGTTGAACATTGTACAAACTATCAATCCTTGGCGATTACATCACAAGCCACACCTGCAATTCGCCTCTGCCTAGTCAACCGATGTTCCTCTTAATGGGTAGACCGCAGTTTTTCGATCTCATGAAATAATGCTATTCAACCTTGGCTGGACGGCGGATGCTGCTGCTGCTCATGAGAACGACGTTGTCGCAGCCTCATCCGAGTTACGACTCTCCAGCCCGGCACCACATCCCTCCCCGACCATCTCCTTTCCTACTCTATCGTCTCTGGGACTGGCGGAACTATATCATCGATACAAACCAACGGAAACTAACCGATCGCACAAAGCACCACTGCATACGATGCCGCTGAGCCAAGTTGAATCGATCTCGTCCAGCGATGACAATTATACGATAGTGGCACCAGTTGCAGATCGGTCTCCCATCAGCCGCGCTCTCTCAGTTAGGAAACAATCATCACGCCCGAAAACTATCTACCAATTAGCCCACCCGGCGGCCCACGCACGCCATCGGCGGCTGAAACTTCGACCAAAGCTTCTTCTGCAGCTCCAGAGAGTCTCTCAGACATCACGGCCCCTGCCTGTCTTGGATGTGCTACCATCAACAGTTTTCCTGCCGCGGTTGGCTCGCAAATTCCCTACGATTTTCAAAGGGAAAAAAGGACTAGGACCGAATGATTTGATCGTCGTGACAAGCGATCTGTACCAACGAACGGTAGGAGATATCGCAGACAAGTATCTCAGCTCGGACGAAGAGAGCCAGGAAAACCGAGAGGTTATTGCGACAATCTGTCAAATTCTCAGAGAGGATGCTTTGTCCCAGGGAAGAGCGGAAATATGTCTGAGTTCTGGTCCGGCCTGGGAGGCGATCCCGTTGCCCAATGGTTCGTATGAGTTTAGAGCTCAGACGGATCATGGGGTGCAGGTTTTGCGTTGGGTCTCGCGTGGAGCGAAAAGTCGCCGTGTATCAGCACCTCCTGGGGGTTCCCTGCACGAGGACGGCAAACGTTTTACATTCAGTGTTATCAACCCCAATACCCGTCGACATCCCGTCATCGCATCGATGACTCGCAATGTCCTTGAAGTGTTTGACCAGTATTCTATGCCTTCTGACCCCACACTTTCACCTACATGTGGCATGTCGGTGGTCAGTGACTCCTCGGAATTGGACACCCCCCTGGACCAAGAAGTGATCAAAACGGATGATGGTCTTCGGACAATCATTATCCTGACTGCAATATGGGTGGCATTCAGAGAAGGCTGGTCACAGAGTTTCACATACGATGACTCGGCTCTAATGTTAAACCCGAAAGGAATTTGTTCGCCCGGAGTGTCAAGACAGAGCTCTCCAACGGCCGTAAGACCGCCGGACGCTTTTCTTTCTGAGCAACGGGATACATATTTGGACGGACCAGTGCTCAACAAAACCGCGCATCGATCGTCGGTGTCGAGTACATTTCCGTTGCAAACACCAGGTCCTTCTGAGCGTGCCAGATCGATGAAGTACGCCAGCTTACCAAAACGCTCAAGGTCCACGGGCGCCGCTTTTCTTGAGCGGGCCAATACGCGAAGTGTCTCCGGCCGGGAAACCCAACCCAACAGACATAGCATGTTTCCGGGGACGCAGGGATTAGGCAACACTGACGCGGCGGAAACTCATGTCGCTGGTGGGCCTTCTCGCAACAAAACAGGCGATTTCACGACTTCTGGCGGCCCCGATACATGGCCAGATAAGTCTACTGATACGAAACGTCGGTCACGGAACCATTCGACGGCGTCCTCGGAAAAGGCCAGCAAACTGCTTGAAACCAGAGCGGCAGACTCTACCCCGTCCAAAGGAAAGCGACGACATCGATTAAGCGGTTTCTTTGACTTCTTCACGAAAAAAAGCGGACAC